AGGAGTCCAGGAAGGATCAGGAGGTGTTGGTTTCATCCGAAGTTCATCAGAACCGGACCGGATCAGCTCACAGAGGAGTCCAGGAAGGATCAGGAGGTGTTGGTTTCATCCGAAGTTCATCAGAACCGGACCGGATCAGCTCACAGAGGAGTCCAGGAAGGATCAGGAGGTGTTGGTTTCATCCGAACCTGATCAGAACCGGACCGGATCAGCTCACAGAGGAGTCCAGGAAGGATCAGGAGGTGTTGGTTTCATCCGAACCTGATCAGAACCGGACCGGATCAGATCACAGAGGAGTCCGGGAAGGATCTGGACCACAGAGGCCCGTCTCGAGCTGCACAGGTGAGACGTTTCTCTGAAGGTTCTGCTTGTTGTGATGACGTCAGGTCTCAGGTGGATCAGGTGGGCCCTGGTGCTCCTGAGACCCGGTTCGTGTCTCAGAGGTCCAATAATGAAAGCAGAGAAACACCTGAACATAAAGCTGCTTTATTCTAAAGTAACAAAGTTTTCTGTTTTCATTTATCTTTTTACTTTGATTTTATTTTTCCTCCCAGTTCTCCAGTTTAACCAGTTCAGAGGTCAGGATGGTGTGAAGTCTAAAGAACCTCAGAGCAAGGCTCAAACTGTCAGATGATTTCAGATTACAGTAATCCAGCCCTCAGATTAGATTCAAACAGTTCTTCTTTTTATTTCTCCTGTTTTTCTGTTTTCAGTGATGGTTCTGGTCGGACCCGTTCACCGTCTGTTTTAAATAATCCAACAAAGTGTTTCTATTCCCAACAGCACAGCTGATGGTACAGATTATCATGGGGGGGCGGGGTTATATGGTTTTATATTTAATACATTAATATAATAAATCACCTGATTAACACCTGCTTATGAATATAAATAAAGTAAAACCTGAACGATTCACTATAAAACAGTTTAAAATTGGGTTTAAAAACTGTTCATTCAGCTGGAAAAACTGAACAAAACAACATCAAGACAAGTAAATAAACGATTTATGTTGTTTATCAGGAGGAACATGTTTGTGGTGAAAATATTTTGTTTCAACTGGCCTCACCTGGGATTAATTCATTTAACTAGAATATTCTGAAAATTAAATCCCTCCATCTGAAAAAATAAATGCCTCCAGTTGAAAAATAAAATCCCTCCAGTTGAAAAATAAATGCCTCCAGTTGAAAAATAAATGCCTCCAGTTGAAAAAATAAATGCCTCCAGTTGAAAAATAAAATCCCTCCAGTTGAAAAATAAATGCCTCCAGTTGAAAAATAAATGCCTCCAGTTGAAAAATAAATGCCTCCAGTTGAAAAATAAATGCC